TTCCTCATCATTCATCTTGTTCTTTTATTGGTTACTAGTTAGAGCAAAAACATTTTAATATTACGAACTAATTGTGATAAATATGGAAACTACAAACTGGTAGTGGGTTAAAATAAAATGTAGAAACCCACTGCACGAGCAGAGGAACGTTACGCCTGAAATATCATCTTGTACACCATTGCCAACATGATCACTATAATGTGGTGTAAGTTGTAAGTTGTAACAGTCAAATATGGCTCTAGTAGAAATCGATCAAACCATGTGAAAATATGAATATGTGTTCTAACCCCGAAAACACATTTTTTTCTTTATCAAGTTCTTAACCGAAACATGTAATCCTTCAAATATAAATATGTAACAATAATCTCATCTCAAACGTCACTCGATTATGATACTTATAATTTTTTTATTAATAATTTTTAGTTGAGATAAAAACACTTCATATCACATTTTACTATTTGATAATCACAGTTTAGTTAGATTTTTGAAGTGTTGTTATTTTGTATATGAATTTTTTTAGAATTTTGTGAAGTACTAGAGATGTTTTGCTTTAAAGATATGTTTTTGGTGTATGGTGGTGATATATTTAGAGGTCATAGACTCATAGTACATTTTTTTTTTTTAAAAGACGGTTTAGGATTGAGGTGTTGTAAACAAAGAAAAGGATTTTAGGTTAAGGAAATTCAAGGAGATGGTGACACGTGGCAAAAGATGTCCCATAATGAAATAAACAGTACCAATGTTTAGTCACAAGAGACAAGCCGAGTTTATTTAGTAGTTAATTTCTCGATTTCTTTAAAAAAGTATATATTAAGAGAAAAGTGTATTCGTTTGGAATGATTATTTTAAAAACAAAAGGCAAATTTATTTGGACTGACCTCCACCTTTACCATTCCTAAAGACCAGAAACCCATTAAAATTGTCATAATAATATATTGTATGATTTAAAATATAATATTACAAAGTTGTAAAGCTATAGAACTTAGTGACGGGAATGATTAAAGAAAAACTACATGGTCACCTCTTTAATTAACCTCTCTTTGCCCGTTTCAGTTAATACACTTATAATATTATTGGTAATTCTTTGTGTGAAAAAACAATTTTCAATTTTC